GTGTCTTCCTTCAGATCTCTAGCTAATTGCCCCCTCCTCACTGAGGCCTTCCTTCACCACCCAATATAAAATAGCACCTCCTAACACTCTTTATTCCCTGATCATGCTTTTTCTTTACATTACTTGATGTTATTTAAAATTGATGATGATTATTATTTGAGACAGGGTCTCACTCTGTTGCCCGGGCTGGAGTGCAGTGGCTGGACCTGCACTCACTGTAACCTCCTCCTTCTTGGCTCAAGCGATCTTCCCAGCTCAGCCTCTCAAGTACAGGCACACACCCCCACGCCGGGCTGATTTTTGTATTTTTAGTAGAGACAGGGTTTCATCATGTTGCTCAGGCTGGTTCCAAATTCCTGAACTCAAGTGATCTGCCAGCCTCAGCCTTCCAGAGTGCTGGGATTACTACAGGCATGAGATGTTTTGAAAATATGCATTTAAACATCTGCACGTGTTTGTCTGTCTTCCACCATTAAGATAGAAACTCCCTGAGACTAGGAACTTTGTTCTTTGTACTGCTGGATTGGCAGGGCACAGAACAAGCCCTACATATAACAGGCACTCAGCAATTATGTTTGAATGAATCTATCTTCCATTTGTACTTTTAAGCCTTTTTTTTTTTTTTGCAGTATATTAACCCAAATTGCAAAAACTGAGCTTGACTCTATGCTACTGGAGACCTCACTACCAAAAAGAGGAAACAGACGTCTCTGCCAGTACTCACCTTCTTTAAAAAAAAATCATTTTTAATTGACAAGTAATTGTGTATGTCAATACTCCATTTTATTAAACACTTTTTCATGCCAATTTCTAATGAAGGACAACTACAAGGCCGCAGATATGTTCTTCCTATTCCAGGTTCCTCAAGGAGAGGGCTATGGGAGTGAATAAACATTGATAGGAGGGAAAACAAAGCCATTTCTTGAGGCCGAAGAGAATATACATCATTTTCTTCTTTCCTGAAGCTGCAGGCATCATGGGGATTAGGAATGCTCCCTTCCTCACTTTCCCCCAGGACTTCTTTGGGAGATAAATTTGAAGAGAAGGGATTGGGGGTTGATGTTCCCCAATGTTGCAAGGCTTGTTTTGATTTGAAGAACACCAGGCTCAATGGAAAGAAAACAGGAGCATGCTCTTAAACCTACATCTAGATTGAAGTTAACGATGCACCTTTATATTCGCTGTGGATCCTGTTTACTGAGCTGGATAAAGAATCAAAGAGTGGATTTGGATTATTGTACTAAGCATTGTTTTAAAATTATTTTTTATGTTTTTTGAGATGGAGACTCTTTGTCACCCAGGCTGGAGTGCAGTGGTGCCATCTCAGCTCACTCCAACCTTCACTTCCCAGGTTCAGGTGATTCTCCTGCCTCAGCCTCCCGAGTAGCTGGGACTACAGGCACACACCACCATGCCCAGGTAATTTTTGTATTTTTAGTGGAGACGGGGTTTCACCATGTTGGTCAGATTGGTCTTAAAATCCTGACCTTGTGATCCACCTACCTCAGCCTCCCAGAGTGTTGGGATTACAGGCGTGAGCCACCAGTCCTGGCCAATTATTCTTAATTTTGTAACGAATAGCAGTTCTACAAGGTAGGTATTGTCATCTCCAGGTTTTAGATGGGAAAATCAGGAGGCATTAGGACTCCAGAAGAAATCGAATGACACCCTCAAGTTCACCTGAGGGAAAAGGACATTTACAGGGTGGGGGCAGGATGCAAGGAACTAACCAAGAATGATGAAGCAACCTGGAAGACAATGGCCTGAGAGGGGAAGGGGAGGGAGCTGGAGTCTCAGAGAAGGGCCAGCTGGACAGGAGCTGTCTGGAACAAAGCATCATAGTGAGGCAGGGTGAGTTGGGCTAATACATTCCAGACCTGTCCCCTTTCTGATCTCGTGCCCTCCACGGGATGGAAGCCAGAGTGATGCAGTCAGAACCCAGAAGAAGGCAGACAGGGTGGGGAGTAGATGTGGAGGCTGAACCGAGAATAACCAGCACAGAGGTTTGGTTGGATAAGCATAAACAAAAGAGCTGGGATTTTAAGCAGGTTTGTCCTCAACTAAACTCGAAAGCTCTCACTCCTACCATGACAAAGTTTTTACAAGTCTGCATTGTGACCTATTGATGGTCATGATATCAGTTTGGTGGCTTGCAGTCAGCATTTTACAAACTGATGTCGGACAAACTAT